TCGAAGTTTCACAGAAAAACCAAGCATATCAAAAGGCGTTATCATTTTGTACGAGACGCAATAAAAAATAAAGAAGTTGTCATTAAGTATATACCCACAAATAAAATGATAGCTGATCCTTTAGCTAAACCTATACGCAGAGATGCTTTCCAAACTCATGTGAAGAGTCTTGGTTTGCGTAGGTTTTAATTTTATTTTTGTGGGATAATGGATGTGTATAAGGTTACACCGAACATATATAAAATTTGTTGTTCTTTGATATGTTCTTTAGCATATGTTGCATAAGTAGGCATGAGTAAAAATGTCACCAGGCTTTTGATTACGCTTATCACACAGGTAATCGCCCTATCACATTAGTTGTGAGTAATAGGATGAGACTATGTCATATTCATATTAAGTGTATGTAATATGAATTGTATTTATACATTTGTTGTATAAATATATTTTTCAGTCGCCTTAGTAAGTCTAAGATGAGACTCTATCGAGTCAAATATGAAATAGTCCTGATTTCATATCAAAGCCTTGAAGCTGAATCTCGAGTGGAAGATAAATTATTAAGTATAGTTATCAAGTGGCTCGGGTTAAATACTTGAGTCGTATCTAGACTACAAATTCGTATAACATAGTAGAGTGACATGCCCATCATAGTTGGAGCTATGTTATAACACGTATATCATACTGCGTGTGCTTTTGAACGACCGTTAAGGATTGACAAATGATTCCCTACTTTGTCAAGGTGTGAATCCTATGGATTTTATTGTCCATCTTTGTACGAAGCCTTTTGACTTAGAACTATGTTATGAAATTGAGACTTAGTGTTGCTACTTTAATATATCCTCCAAGAGCTATGATCGATACAGTTCGACGGAGCATGTTAGGAAAGCAACTAAGTTGGGATGAAGTTTCATTAGTGTCTAAGAAATAACTTATTCAACTTCACCACATTAGCCCGGGCGGTTATATTTGAATATAACCATGTTGTGTATATAGCATATAGGAACAGTGTATGCTATTGGTGATTTTTGAACAGTTAGAGGTTTTCGTAAGTATGAAAGTGTTATATTAGTTAGATGGTGACTTAATATATTGCTGTTATTGTTGCATTTGGTCGCACGCTCTATTACCCGTATGAGGCAAGAGATTTGCTAGTAAAGATGTTAGTTATAGTCTCGGCTTAAGTGGCTGAGTGGGAGTGTTGTTTGTAATTAATTTCATCAGTTAAATTAATTAAACACCCACTTAATGATATTGTTAAATAACTCCATTAAGTAACTACGTTATGTAGTTTGGAGTTAATTCTCCATTGAATTTGTCTCTTCGGGAGACAACTATATAAGTAGATGCTTTGTGCATCTTAAAGTGTGAGAATAAAGAACAAAGCAACAAAAATACTATAAGTCTTTATTTAGTGCATATTCTCTTGTTGAGCCGAAACCATCACAAGGCGGCTCGGATTTTAGAACGTGGAGGATACCGACGACTCTAGAAGCCGTCGGATAAAAGATACATGCAAGTTTTCGCTTCCGCTACATAAAGGTTAGTCCTATATATATTCATATATGTGTTATATAAAACCACTAACAATAAGGTATATAATTGTTCTAAATGAGTCTAGCTAGAAGGAATGAGGGGCACTAGGATTGCTCACATTTTTAGCTGATCTGACTTGTTAAAATAAGATATCTCAGTTATTAATGCAAATGCGATATTAACGTTTTCGTTAACATAGTGCCAATTTCAAACATGTAGACAAACAGTCGAACAGGTGTCCTAGAGATACTCTCAAGACACTATGACTCACCAAATGTCATGATATTTTTTACCTTTTCACCTTCCATAAATTGTAAAAAGGGGGAGAAAAATTCAATCACTCCACTGATGGGTGCTTGTGTTGAATCTCAAACTCCAACAACCGTACAAATACTCAAATAATTATTAAAAAACAATCATTCCAACTCTAGTTAAAGTAGCCCGAGCCAAACAATTATCATATCCTCCAATTTTTTTTTTTTTTTTTCAACAATCAGCATGAGTCCCCAATTTGATAATTTGATATGCTTAGCAAAAAATAAGGACATGACCGCAAGGCTCCGACTGGTAAAAAATTATCGCACGTTTTACAAGTCAAACAAAGAGAACATAAGAGAGCTGTAGTTCATCTTTCACGTTGTTAAGGTGTTTAAATTTTATTTATTCGCTATTTTATTCATTTCATTTATATAAAACAGTGAAATTTTTTTAATAATCTTAATTCTTATTTTCTAGGGGCAGCGGATACATGGCTCGGCACCCGGTTTCTTGGCACAAAAGTTCAAGGAGTTTAATCTTCTCGAAGGACATGTGTACGGGATTACAGATTGGAACCTTGAGCTGGACGGAAAGGCTTTCAAATTAACCGAATCAAGTCATAAGTTTGTTTTCAGTAAAGAGACAAACATGTACGAGATTGTTGAGGACAACTACATGAGGTTTATGTTTAACTTCAAAAATTTCAACAAGCTATCCGACCCCCAAACAATTGATTCCAGCAAGCTAAATGGAATACTTGTATCAATTGTCCTCCAAACAATTGATTCCAACGAGCTATCTGAGCTGCAATACTCCACGCCCAAACTCACTGCGAACATGGTTTCGAGACCCGCGAACTGCAGAATTTTAGTAATTGTGTGTGTTTTAAGTATATGTTTGTAGTGTATCTATAAATAGACATTGTGCTTTGTATTTTTAACACAACCTCTAATTTTCTAACTTTTAAGTTGGAAAATCCTCTCTATTTTCTCTCTTTTATTTTTATGCTTTGGTTTGGAGATTCATAACTCAAATTTTCCGGCGAAATTCCAACAATCTTATTTTCGATCAAGATTCGAGTTTTACGCACTATTTTCATCCGGGCATGCGATAGGAGAGCAAGTACCTTGCTTAGGGCTTACTACTTCGAGTTTGTTTTTCGATTTACGTGTTTATGCTCGATTCTAGGTCTTTACTTTATTTTCAATGCTTGCTTTCGTGTGTTAGGAATCCGATACCTGCTTATCTTGTATAGAGGTCTCGACTTTGCTCAAAGTGTGATGATCTAGTGTAGAAAGCTCGTGTTAGGTTACCTAGGATCACCTTGCTCGCATGTTTTCTCTTGTTTATTTTTGTTTTCTTGAGTTATGGATACTCCGTGCAACCAAAGTTTTGATATTTCTTCCAAACCTTGCATTTGTCATCATTTGCTCTTAGATTTTTAGTTTGATTTCATGCAATCTAATCCAATCAAGCAAGTAGAGTGTGTAGGACCTTATTTTCGGTTATGTGAATTGACGACTAGATAGTGAATGAAGCTCTGAACAGCCTTCCTTTGAGAACGACTCGAGTTGGATACTCGATTATCAACAATCTCCAAAAATACTACAAACAGTTAGATATTAGAAAGTGGGCTCGACATTGTTACATTAAATGTCATCATGAAAGAGTTCATGACAAGATGCATTGAAAAATAAATTAGTAAGACACTTTCAAAAGTTGATGATAGGGATGAATTTTTATAATGTCAAAAATCACACGGAGATGCTTTAACAATCTAATTACTAAACATATACTCACGCCAAACTTACCAAACTAACAAACTACTATTCCTAATCAACTTAATATAAATTCATAGGTAGGGGTGTTCATCGGTCGGTTCGGTCTGAACTACAAAAACCGAATTAACTGAATTTTTAAATTTCAAAAACCGAACCGACCGAAATAAGTACCTAAAACTGAAGTATAACCGAACCGAATTGTTTGGTCGGTTCGGTCGGTTAACCGAATTTTTACAAAAAACAATTTTTTTTGGCAAAGGAAAAATTCAGCAAAAAACGAATGAAGGCGAACAATACAATTCAGAACAAATTCAGCAAAAAACAATTTTTACAAAAAACAATTCAGATCCACAAGGACCAACAATACAAGTCCGACAAAAAAAAAAATGATAAACGAAATGACGAATCGACAACCATAAATGAAGATTCCTCTTGAACTTAACGAAATAGACGAATCAACGAGACGACGACCATAAATGAAGACGCACGCAGCTACTTGAACCAGAGAAGGCTATTTGGGGGACGATTTAGGGTGGAGAAGCAACGGCAGTGACGGAAGATTTGGGGGCGGCAACGGATTTGGGGAAGAGATGAGGAAGAGGATTGAGTAGGGGCGAGATTCTGAGTGTGTTGTGTTATCTGTATTCTGAGTGTGTATGTTTAGGTCCTTTAAGAATTATTAGGGTTGAAATATTATATTATAATATATAACTTAGTAATATATATATATATATATATATATATATATATATTATATAATATTATTCGGTCGGTTCGGTTATTCGGACATTTGGAGTTCGAAAACTGAAACCGACCGAAATAACCGAACAATGAAATGCTGGAAACCGAAAATCGACTGAGTCGAACAAAAACCGAACCGAAATTATCGGTTCGGTCGATTTCAGTCAAATTTTGCACACTTTTACTCACAGGAATATAAAGCCTGTTAACTAAAAATTATTAAAATATTTAACCTAATAATAATCTTCCAAAATTTTTTGGCCAAACCTTTTAGAAGCTCCTCCCTTCAGCTCGCACAACTCGCCTCGTGCGTTCGCGCATCACGCCCACGCACACCCCAACGCGCTTGCACGCGTAACGTTTTCGGGCATTTGCGTGCCATACTCGAGCTAAAAGCAATTAATCTTGGACTGCTTAATCATGTGACAAGACGTGATTAAGTAAATTAATCCAATTTTACAATATAAGCTTATCGACATATATTATATATATTTGATTTCGGTTAATTGCCAAGAAGGAACCGATTAGCCAAAGGTGAACGTAATTCGTAACGTCACATTTCGATCGATTTGTTCTATTGAAATTGCTATAAAGAAAATATGTGAGAATAAACCATTTATTATTTACTTAACTTTTCTTTTCTGTTTTTTTCCCCCCTCATTTAAGAAAACCACACCACCCAACAGTCAATCAAAGCCTAACAAAATCAAGAGCTTTGTCAAAATGGTGGTACTTGAGACGAATATAGTCCTTGACCATCATCGGCCTAAAACGCGGGGCATCCAACACCCTACTAGCCAATGGCCCAACAACATAATTGGGCGAAGGCCCATAAAAATATGCAAAGGTGAACCTATGCCTCATGCGACTTGGGACGACACGATGGTACACCGGTCGAAATCGTGCATTGGACATAATGTGCATTAGATCGCCAATGTTGACCACCATTGCCCCTGAGACAGGCTCCACCGTGATCCACCCGACGCCCTCTTTCAAAATTTGGAGGCCGTTTGTGTCATTTTGGTGGAGGATCGTGAGAAGCATGGAGTCCGTGTGGGGGCCCAACCCCACGGCCCGATTAGGGTTTGGGCAGCTCGGGTAAGAGTTTAGCTGCAGTACACCTACAGATGACAAAAGATGATCCCTCAACATCTTTTCTTTATCTTCCTCATTTGCCCCTAGTGCCTTTAGCATGATGCCCATGATTATGTTGCCTACTGACTTCATTTCCTTCTGGTAATTGTCCATAGCATTACTGCAAATACTTTTTAATTAGTAAGTGTTAGAAAATTCAATTCAATTCAATTCAACTAATTTGTTGGTACCATCTGGCTTCAGCTATATACATATATGATTGCCAGAGCCGGTCTGGTATAATTTCGGGTCAAATATAAAATTAAAAAAAATGCTACAAGTACATAATAAATGTACATAGAGGTGTACATAACACTCACATAGAGTGGGGTCCACTTGATTTTTTATTTTTGACCGGTCCCGCTCAATGTAAGTGTTATGTACACCCCTATGTACAATATTATGTACTTATAACATTTCTCATTAATTAATGCTCCCAATCTACAATGAGAAAATTACACCACCAACAGTGTTTGTATTAGTAGATTTATGAAATATTCTTTTTAATTGTAAGTAAATCAACTTTTACTGTACATAAATGATTGATTTGTATTTTATTTTTTTACATGTTTTTATGTATATCATTGGTTTTTTGGTTTTTGATAATTCGTTTATATATGATTTTAATTTGAATATAGTAAGTTTACAACAAAAAAAAAAAATCAGAAAGTGCGTTACACATATAAATGAGCCAGCTACATCCAATCCACCTAGGTTAGGGAGTCAGAGTCCAAAAATATAAAAATATTGCACAAAATCTACATTCAATCTTCTAAAATATTAGAAGGTTGTAAATTCATCTCTTATTAACAAAATAATATTAATAATGATGATGATGATGACGATGACGATAATAATAATATATGTATGTGGCGTCAATTGAACAGGAATATAAATGAAAATTGAAACCCAACNAAGGAGAATGAGGGCCGAAATGAACAAAATAATATTTTATATTCAATAATCACTTATTATTTTTATTATTATTATAAATGAAATTTAATGGAAAGGAAAAAAGAAGTCTTATTTGCCAAAATACAAGAGTGAGTAGAAATAAGACTTTCAATTCAACTTATTGAGAGAGGTTGGGCCCATTGGAGGATATTATATTACACTTGGCCAAGAAAATTACTAGCTATTTTTTGTCATTTTAATTTAACTTCAACTAACTGAGAGAGGAGGGGCCCATTGGGGGCATTGTATATATACTGCTCTTGGCCCAAAAAATGAGGAGAAGAATTTTTTTTTTCAATTGGGTTTGGCCTTATAAAAAATAATTTTTAATATATTATAAATAATAGTAATTTATTTATGAACATATATGAGGCCCATTAAATGGGTCCTGGGCCATCTCCCAGCTGCCCTGGCCCAAGGCCGGGCCTGATGGATACTATATATCAGGACATCTGTCATTTTTTATTTAAATAATGATTGATATCATGTTTAATTTATTATCATACATCAGCAAAATTTCAATTTTAGTACTCTAAATTGGTCATTGTTTTCAATTGGCTCGTTAACTTGAACCTCTCAAAATAGTCCATTTAGTTGCATGGGTTCTCACTTTTCGTATATTAATCCCGACAATCGGAATTACCTGCTAGCGTTGCGTGATAAATTTTGAGGAGTCCCTACCTGGTATGTGACATGACAAATGATGGGGGCCACGTGGCAATTTCGGTCATTGACCACGTTTTTTTTGTTTTTTTTTTTAGTCCACTATGTTGTCACAACTTCAATTTCAATACTTTAAGTTACAACTTTTATCAATTTTGATCTATTAAAGACAATTAATTCTATATTTTATGATCTTTATTGAGGACTAAATTTTGTTATAATTTGTTAACTAAAAAAGTATTTTGCCAATGAAAGTACACTGTTTTACATCCTTTAGTTTTTCCAAAAGATAGTTTTTTTATTTTTTCTTTTTATGATGATTGTGTACTTATCTCAATTTTGAACACAAAAACGATGAATTTTTTTATTCAAGATTGTTTTATATTTTTTAGGAAAAACAACATATGGAAATGAATTTTATTGAATATATATATATATATATATATATATATTATTGACCAAGATCCATCACAAGACCAATTTGGAGACCAAAGCTCATGAGCTCCCATACGAGTGTACAGAGTGGTAAAAATTGTTACTGTTCATAACTAATTGTGAGGTAACTTAGTTATAAAAATTAAGACTCCTAAATATGGTGTATTTAGTAACCAAGAGGAAAAATATTACAGTTTATTACTAAATTTTGACAAAATATAATCTGTCGCACTACCAAAAAAATTGTTATATTCCAACGGAAAATTCTACGATAATATATTCTAATGGAAATTCTAACGGATATTCCAATGGTATAACTTCTGTTGGAATGATTCCAACGAAAATATTGTGTTGTAATGACTTTTCTATTGGAAATTTAGATGAATTTGATGATTCCAACGACTATTTTTGCAACGGTTTTTTACCGTAGAAATTTCCGTTGGAATATACAATTTCCGTTGAAATTTTTATTTCCACCTCCGTCGGAATCGTCAAAATCCAACGGAAATTCCAATGGAAAACTCATTCCAACGGAATATTTTTGTTGGAATTTCAGTTGGAATTCCATTAAAATATATTTGTATTGGAACTTTTCGTTGGAATTTCATCATTTTGTTGTAGCGTCGGTAAAGACTTTCACAAATATATTTTAGGGGATGAGAATAAATAGTATCATAAAAGTAGTAATTTTCATTGAAAAAATAAAATAAAATTCACCAATAATCCATATCAAATTGATATAATATATTGTTTGCCGCAAAAAAATTATTTATCATAATAAATATTACGTAATGACAAAAATAAAAGATGGACAAAATATTTTATGGTGATAAAAATAAGGGAAAATTGTTTTTAACTTCCCAAAGTATGTCATTTTTTAGAGTTTGCCATATAAATTTTTTTTTACACTTTGTCTCCAAATGTAATCGAAATTGACAATTTGTCTCCTTGATTGAAAAAACTCAATTAATGATAAATTTTAAATTAATCTTTAAAATTGATTTAGGGCTTTTAAAGCTCATGGCGAGACGAACAAAATAAGGTATGATTTGTCGAATTCTGAAAATTGATACCTCCATAATCGATCAACGAAAATAGTAGGAGCACATGTGTATAGAAAAAATTTCAATAAAAGTTTTTGATAATCAAGATATCCGATTTTCGATTGGGAGGTGTCATTTGAAAGCTAGTAGGACCAATTTTCTAACACGTAAATCTTATGAAAATCCAACGGTCGAATTTTGATCAGTATTTAGAAAACTACTGATCAATAGTTAGATTGTTTTTAGGCTACTGACCAAAATCCGAGGGTTGGATTTTCATAAGAATTACTTCGATAGAAAACTCATCCTCCAAGCTTTCAAATGACACATCCCCATAGAAAATCGGATATCTTGATTATCAGAATACTTGAATTGATTTTTTTTTATACACACGTGCTCCTGCTATCTTCGTGGATCAATTTTAGAAGTATCAATTTTCAAAAATCGACAAACCATACCTCATTTTGTTCGTCTCGCCATGGGCTTTAAAAGCCGTGAATCAATTTAAAAGATTAATTTAAAATTTATCATTAATTGAGTTAAAAAAGAATTGTGCCATATTAGGGTTTTCAATCGAGGAGACAAATTGTCAGTTTCGATTACATTGGGAGATAAATTGTCAAAAAAAAAAAGTTTGTATAGCAAACTCTATAAAATGGCATACTTTGGAAGGTTAAAAACAAAATTCCCTATAAATAAAGTTGGTCATATTTTCTTAATAAATTATAATTAAATGTAATTTGTTCCAAAACAACTGTTACAATATATGTAATTTATTGTCGTGACTAGACTGAAATTGATAAAAATTACAATTTAACATAATGAAACAAAATTTGGAGATAGATGGCTTGTTTCAGACCCTGTAAATAAAGGGGGTGGCCTTTTGGTTTCTTGGAGTTTGGATGTGGAAGTCTCTCTGCATCTCTCAAACAGGTTTTGTATTGAAATCGAGTACAACTTCAAGGTCAGCCTGATAAATTCTGGTGTATCTTTGTCTATCCCAGCTCTTGCCGAAGAACTAGAGAAGCTCAGTGGCAATACCTTATTCAGGCAAAAAGTAGATGGGGCTCTCACTGGAGAATAACGGGTGATTGGAACGACATAATCTGCCACGAGGAAAAAAAAAAAAAAAGAAGCCGACCTAGATCTGACTCGAGCTTCTGGGGTTTTAAATATTGTCTAGCTGAGCTGGAAGGACAAGAAATCCCCATGGAGGGTCACCCTTTTACCTGGGGTAACAACAGACTAGGTGAAGAGTTCATCGAAGAGAAGTTGTACAGAATAATTGTTACCCTACACTAGCACTCAAATTTCCCCAATGCTAAGGTGCTAAATACTTTTCGAAGTGCCTCAGATCATCATCTTCTTGTGCTGAAAACTGGTAGCCCACAGCCTTTTAAGAAGAAATTATTTTCTTTTGATAAACGATGGCTGAAACAACCTGGGGTTAGAGAGGAAGTACCAAAGGTTTGGAACTTGCCTGTTCAAGGGTTTGACATGTTCAAATAATCAAACTTACAGAGAAAATCAAAGCCACAAGAGTGGCTCTACTGAAGTGGAGTCGAACATTCACCACTGAGCATTCTAAAACCATCACACAGCTTACCAAAGATATGGCGGGCTTAAGGGAAGCAGGTGGTGCCAGAAATTGGTATCAGTGGAAGCTTTTGAAACAGCAATTGGATGAAGCTTACAAGTCTGAGGAGCTCTTTTGGAAATAGAAATCCCGAGCACTTTGGCGCAAAGAAGGCGAGAAAAACACTAAATTTTTCCACGCTTACACCCTTCAAAGGCGAAAGTTCAATGCCATTACCAGACTTGTCAAAGATGATCACACATTTTGCGAATCCAAAGAGGAATTAACTGATTGCCTGGCTGATTTTTATCATCATCTATTCACTTCAGAAGGATCAACAGATGAAGGACACCTGCTCGATTTCATCCCCTCAACAATCACTGCTGATCATAACAGGAATCTAGTGGCAAAAGTGACTGAAGACGAAGATGGGATGGTATGACCCCTTCTTTCTTTCAATCGTTTCGGGCCACCATTAAATCTGATTTATATAAAGCTGTTGAGAGTTTCTTTACCTCAGGTCATTTGCTCAAAAGCTGGAACCTCACTTTGATCACTCTAATCCCAAAATTTCATAATCCTATTTCTGTGGGGGATTTCCGTCCTATTAGCCTGTGTGAGGTTATATATAAAGTCATCTAAAAAATTCTTGCCGATAGATTAAAAGTCTGTCTGCCTTTCTGTGTTAATAACAACCAAGTTGCATTCATTCCAGATAGGCAATTGCTTGATAACGTCATAATAGACCAAGAAGATTTCCATTTCCTTAATCGGTACAGGTCAGAATCCAAATGGCTTTAAAACTCGACATGACCAAAGCATTTGACCAGATTGAGTGGAGCAGCATTAGGAAGATAATGGATAAAATGGTTTTGATAGCATTTTCATTAACTGGGTGATGGCTTGTGTGAGTACCACCTCTTTCTCATTCAAATTAAATGTATGCCCATCAGGTTTTATTGTTCCCACCAGCGGAATACGACACGGAGATCTTATCTCCCCTTATCTATTCATTTTGGTGTTAGAATATCTCTCTTGTTTGATACAACATGAGTTAGCTCGGGGAAACTTCAAAGGTCTCAGAATATCAAGGCAGGGGCCTATTCTCAGCCACTTGTTCTTTGCCGACGATTCATTACTATTTTGTCAAGCATCTGTGGAATCTGCACTCCTCATTTTGGACATGCTTAGCAAATACAAAAGTCTAACCGGGCAAAAAGTAAACTTGGCAAACTCCTCTATATTTTTTAGCCGAAATGTTCATATAGCCCTCTAACGGGAAGTTTGTTCTACACTGAATGGAATTTCCCGGCACACCTCCTCCAAATATCTGGGTCTACCCCTTGGCATCGGGAAATCCAAAAAACAAACTTTCAGCTATGTTGTTGAGGCAGTGAAGGGCAGACTTTGCAATTGGAAAAAGCATTTTTTATCTGGAGCGGGCAAAGAAGTCTTAGTCAAATCTGTTCTTTGCGCACTTCCTGTTTTAACCATGTCATGTTTTTTCTTATCAGTAGGCATCTGCAAGGAGCTCTCTCAATTGTTTTCTCATTTCTGGTGGAAATTTACTGGCAGCTCATCCTCGGGGATCCACTGGAAAGCTTGGCACCTGCTCACACTTCCAAAAGCTGCAGGAGGTCTTGACTTCCACGACCTCTAGGTTTTCAACGAAGCACTTATCCTCAAACAAATTTGGCGATGTTATAATGGAATTCTCCCGGTGGCTGAAATTTTGATCAAGCGAGGTGTTAAAGTAGACCCTATATATATGGCTTGTGGAGAAAAGTTGGAAACTGCCGAGAAGGTTCGAAACCTATGGATCTTCCAAAAAATTTGGATTCCAGAGCAGCTCATTGTCGAGAAGGCGGTTCACGAATGGATTGAATTCTCTTCATGTTCTCGGGGTTAGATTTTATATTATGTTGTTCAGTTTAGTATTTTGCTAGTCCCTGTTTTGTTTTGGCTTTTACCAGCTACGTCCTTGACAGTTGCTGTTTTTGTACTGGTTTGCTGTTTTTTCTGTTTTAGTTTTGTTCCCCGGTTTGTATTTCTCGGCCAGTGACAGGCCTCCGCAGGGGTTAGCGGCTGTTAGTTTGGCACTGAGTCATGCTGGTTTTCTTAGATTTTTTGTATCTAGGCTGCATTTGCTGTCCTCTGAACCATAGATTTGGATTGTGATCCTTTTGGATCCCGTGCTTGTACTGACATTATCTATCTATGAGATTATCTACTGTTGTTTTGAAAAAAAAAATAAAATTGGAATTTAAAAATTCTCAAGTTAAATGATTGTCATGTCACTTGTAGTGTCACATGCCACGCACGTAGGGACATTCAAAATTTATCATGCCATGTCTGCAGCTAGCAACCGTCGGAATTAGTGTACAAAACGTAAAAAAGACTACAGGCAACTTAACGAACTCTTTCTCTACGACCTCGCCTTGTGGGGGAAGTACAGATGGGTAACCGGCCTAACCTCCTCTTCTGGACCATCTGGACCGACCTACTCACCCCGACCATTTCTGTTTTCCTTTAGCGCCTTCTCTTGCGCCACCTACGATTGATAATGTGATGCAAGTGAGGGGGTTCTCCTTCCCTCGTGTAGCTATTGTTGTGCTGAGACCGACGTTTTTCAGACTGAGACCTTTAGCCATTTATTTCTTGAGAGCATGACTATGAGGAGAGTGTGGGAGCATTATTCCATTTATACTCATATATCCCTACCAACCACAGATAACTTCTTTGAGCTTCTGAGTCTTTTCATACATAGCACACACATTAGGCACGTGGTCTTCTTTATTCCTTGTTTGATCCTTTGATCCACCTGGACAGAACGGAATAATGCGAAACATAGGGATATTACCTTTTTGTGTTCCTATATTATTTTTCAGGTTGACAGACATTCCTCTCCTCACCGCTCTAGGCAGATTCACGCTGAGAGACTGGACAAGCTGCACGCCACCTCATCTTTTTGCACCACCTCCACAGCCGTCTGTCCAGCACTCACGCCCCAGAGCTGTTGTTTGGCTGAGATCCAAGCCTCCTTAGGTTAAGCTAAACACTGACGAATCCTTTGACCGACTTACCGGAGCCGCCGGAGGTGGGGGTCTGATTAGGGACCATAGCGGCGCTCTTATTACCGCTTTCCATGCCCCTCTTAAGGCCTCCTCGAGCTACGACGTAGAGATTCAGGCGCTTCAGATCGGTCTTTAGATTGTGCGCTTGATCTCCTCTCACATTTGGATAGAGTTGGACGCTGCCGCTGTTATCACTCTCTTGACCACTGGCCATCAGGGCATAACAGATTCAACATCCGCTCATGCGTATTAGGGCCACACTTCGGTTGATTCGCTTTCGGATTTCGCACATCTTTCGTGAGGGGAACCGTCCTACTGACTTCCTCGCAGGTATCGGGTCCTCCACCCCCCAGAGGCGCATACTTTATCCTGACGGTATTACTCTCCGACTCTGTACCCTTTATATGGATGGACCAGATGGGATACCCTTCATTCAAATTTGTGTAGCCAGTCGTACTTTTGGTGCATCCGCTCTTCCGCTCTCCCGTGACGCTGACTTTTTTCCTGGACCCTTCCGGACCAGGAGACGTTATCTTTGTATTACTGGCAGCTGTTGCCAGTTTTTTCTTGTTTTCTTTTTTATTGGTACAAACGAAATAAAAATTCTGACTGATTATATGTGAGCTATGAATGTAAATAATATACCGATGTACTGAAGTGGTTGTGGATTAATCTGAGTTATGAATTTAAATATATCCGATAAATGTAAATATATCCGATATCTGAGTAATCAATATCACGGCATAATGACTAAAGCTGAAGTCTAAACTAAGAGTTAAATATTGGATGCTATACGCCATAAGTTTGTAGAATTCTCTACTTGAGTTGATTCCACGACGAAACTCGCTAACGAGTATATTATTATTATTATTATCATTATTAATTGAGTCAAGAATAAGTTGCAAATATTTTACTTTTTAACCGACAGACAGGCATATATAGTGTTGAAGCAATGGTTGAAAAGCGGACAATCATTCTATTGCGAAATTTCCGATTGAAAAGATTAAATATTATTTGACAAAAAAAAAAAGAAAAGATTAAATATTATAACAAAGAATAAAATCATATAGAACCAATTAAGGTCAGTAATCTCTGAGACCAAAGGGAAAAGAACCTGATGAAGAAATTTTGTTCCAATGAGAGAGAAAAATACGCAAACGGCCGCGCCAGCGAATAATTCGATAAAACTATTTTAGCTCCAAATAATTTCGAAATTCTCTACTTCAACCTTTTTAGCCAATAAGAATATTTTTAAATAAACAGAGACACAATTCTTTTTTGTTTGCTCAAATTACAAAAACCCTTTTCTGTATATATATATATAAGTTTGTTAAAAGCAATCATGCATAGATACACACAATAAATATATACTTATATATAATATATGGATGGGCTTACCAAAAATCTTGGTATTCAAGGGGCCAAAGTTGTTTGGCATGTTCAACCGCAGAGCCCATGATGGTGAACCCCTCGTGCCACATCAGCTTGGAGAAAAATGGCGATATTCGAGCCACCCCATATCCTGTACTCTCGTTGGGCAAACGCAACACCTTCTGCTTCTGTTGGGCCGGAAGCCCAAACAGGCGCTTGCTCTGGGCCTCCACATCATCAAATAGGCCCATTGGGACCCCGTGGTTGATCACTTGAAACACTCCCCACTCTCGACATGCATTTGCAACGAGGCCCACAACATCTGGGGCAGTCAGATCTAAGACGGGAACAGAATACTGTTTATTAGATTCAGATAAATTATCTGTCTGCAGAGTCCACACGTGGGAATCTGGTAGGTCGCGAATGGAGTTGAAATCGAGCGGAACTATGTGTTGTGATTGGAGGTGGGTTGTGCTATTATAGGCTTGTGAGAGGGATTTGATTGGTGTTGGTGTTGCCATTTTAATTTGGAGAGTTAATATATTAGGGTTTGGGATATGGGAATTATGACAAGTATTTTTGTGGGGGGTTTTATTTATAGAGTTGTTTTTGTGTTTTGTCTTGGTCTTGGAGGTGTATCATGAGTTGTAGATTTCCATTTAACATAAATAAATTCTTGCAATATTTTTTTTTATTTTTAAAGAAAAGGAGAAAAGAAAAATGTAATCAAATTATTAAATTGTTATTGTTATTTGGCATTTGGTTATATCTTTTTGTAATTCAAATTTGGATTTGTTTTACACGTCGCATAGAGCGGCTTTGTATGGACTTATTAGTGATGGCGGGGGATTAAGTAATGATATTTGAAATATATTATATCTGAAGAATGGGACATTTAGAAAACAACAAATTATTGTAAGGTGTTAGAAGTTGAAATAACGAGCAGGAATTTGTGATTTAAATTAATTTACATGTTGTTTCCCATATAAAAAGGGCTCACTTGTATACATTATTATTACACTCATGATATTCGTTATTTGAAAATATGACATGAAGAAAACATGAGAAAGTAAATAATTGTAATCATTATAAGCATAATTATACTTTATTAAGATTAAATTATGATAATTTGTTATAAGCTCGAATCTCATATTTATAAGAAATTTACGGAAAAGAAAGGAGCATCTAGCGCGAGATTTCCACTCGAAATCATGTTTCATATTATTATGTTGTGAGTTGCAGAGGTAAGAAGAATAATACCATATATAAAGAGTATAAATGTGGACCATGAAAATCTTCTAACTAATTATAATTAGCATATAAAAGCAGCAATCGTGTATTGAAATATGACTGGTACAGTACAGACATGTAATATGAAATAATATAATAATCTCGTACAAACTTAGGGAATGATTACGGTCCCGTCATAATTTTTTTTTATATTATTATTTTAATCTAAAGATAGACATATAGATTAGTGTAGAATAGATATGTTAGAATATGTGAGTTGTCCCACATCTTTCATACTTAAAAAATAGAACCACCTTATAAGACTACTGGGATACTTCTCCTTCCACCAATTGTTTATTGGATGGAACCTCATTTGGGCTTCATATGAGCTTTTCCTGTTTTCCCATGATGCGCTTCATGCTAGTGGACCTGCACCCGTTTTCCCCCAGTTTCTGTCATGGTATCAGAGCCGGTTTTATGTGGGACCGTGTGATAACATACCCATTTTTCCAGCCAGGACTCACAAGTGAAGGGGCGTGTTAGAATATCACTTGTGAGATTCATGATAGTGGACCCGCACCCGTTTTCCCCCAGTTTCTGTCATGGTATCAGAGCCGGTTTTATGTGGGACCGTGTGATAACATACCCATTTTTCCAGCCAGGACTCACAAGTGAGGGGACGTGTTAGAATATCACTTGTGAGATTCTATGTGGAACCGTGTGATGACGTACCCGTTTTTCCAGCTAGTTGGGCTTGGGTTTTAGAAGGACTCACAAGTGAGGGGGCGTGTTAGAGTTTTTCCAGCTAGTTGGACTTAGGTTTTCGAAGGATTCACAAGTGAGGGGGCGTGTTAGAATATCATTTGTGAGTTGTCCCACATCGTTCATACTTAGAAAATAGACCCACCTTATTAGACTAATGGGCTACTTCTCCTTCCACCATTTGGGCTTCATATGGGCTTTTTCCGTTTTCCTCACAAGTGAGGGGGCGTGTTAGAATATCACTTGTGAGATTCTATGTGGGACCGCGTGATGACGTACCCGTTTTTTCAGTCAGTTGGGCTTGGGTTTTCGAAGTACTCACAAGTGAGGGGGCGTGTTAGAATATCATTTGTGAGTTGTCTCAACTCGTTCATACTTGGAAAATAGACCCACCTTATAATAGTAACGAGCTACTTCTTCTTCCACCATTTGGGCTTCATATGGGCTTTTTCTATTTTCTCATGGTGCGCTTCATAATAATTAGAAGAAACAAAGATTAGAAAGAGTGAAAAAAGAAAATTTTTCCGTTTTCTCATGTTGCGCTTCATGATAATTAGAAGAAACAAAGATTAGAAAGAGTGAAAAAGGAAAAATTATTATCTGGAAAGTGGGTAAACGACCAAACTATATTGTCCGTATGTTAATGGAGATTTCTTAGTGTAAAAATTAAATAATATACTATCTCCATTCTGTCCTCAGTGCAAATTAATTACTACTATATCATAAACGATCAAATTGAATGATTATATGGCGACCATCTACACTTTGTATCTTTGCTAAAGCCTGAATCGGTTTGTATCATTCCATGGATTGATTGCAATGATGGAAAAAGTTTTTTTTTTTTTCTTCAGAAAGAGTATAACATAAAGTTTGAAAAAATCAAAGATTTATGAGATCAAAATTAACTATTATGAATAATTCTTCAAAAGTTCATTAAATAATTCAATTTATCATGAGATCTACGTCATTTCTATTTAATATAAAGTCAATTTTGTAAAATATTAGTTTAACAAGTGTTCTGACAAACTTAACATTATTGATGATTTTCTTGCTAAACAAACAAAACAAATTAAAAGAGAAATTTTTTTATTCTCTCTTGTAATTTATTAGTTCTATGTATTATTACTATCTCTTATTCTTTTTAAATGTCATTTTGGCTTTATCAACTATTAACCAAAATAAATATCGTTTTGGATCTTTTGTACATATTTTTCCATTATTACCCTCATTTAGTTAATAAATACACTATGTCTTTTCATATTCTCTTCATCTTTTTTGTAAAACATCCATCTCTATTTTCATTAATGAGGGTTATTATTGGCAAAAAAAATATTCTTAATTAGTGTACAACTTCTCAAAACGACACTTATTATGAATAGGAGGGAGTAGTAGTTACTATGAGTAATTATTGGATAGAAATATCTAGCAACATCTTAGTAATATTCTCTTGCCATATCTAATCATGCATTGCATTATTGAATTTCCTTAATTATTATTGTATATAAAAGACGCATGAAGTAAAGAATGAAGAGCTTATCGTTGCATGAAGATTTCGCACATGACTTGGAAAAGATCATAATTAAGCCATGAAGATATTGATAAACATCTTCGACAAGATTCAGAAATTAAATAAACTGGGAAATAGTGTTCCTACGCAAATATGGAATGAATAATTTGGAGACCTCTAGTCAAAGAAGCAGATCTAATCAAATAGGAAATCGACTCCACATAGAATGACATTGAAGATAAGGAAAAGATCAAGAAGTCTCACCTACTTGGAGATTGTATATATGTCATCACAAAGACTCAGAGAGAAGCTGTTGAAATTACTATTAGTATTAAGTTTATTGTTCAATAGTTCTTGAGAGTTGGTTTATATTTTCATAGTTTAGAGATTGAGCAATTCATTTTTGTGTTCTTATATGAGTGAAGAGCTGAGTTTGTTTTATTCTTGTAAACTCTTAGATACTTAGGGACAGGGGCGGAGCTATTAAAGGACGAGTGTGGGCCTAGGCCCACACTGAAATTTTCAAATATTAATTAGGATTATATATAAATTATTTAATGAATAACTTAATTTACATTATGTAGATGTATTTGGGAAGATATAATTGTAACTCCCTCTCCAAGTTATAAGATGATATATAGCATTTTGTTTATCCATCATCAATTACTTTTTATTTATTTTTATTTTTAAGCATCATCACTATGTATCCTATTTTGCTTAAATTTGAAATTAATATATAATTATTAATTACTTAATATAATATGAATTAAGTAATATATAATTATTAATTACTTAATATAATATGACTTAAGTAAGAAGACTCAAAATTTTTAGTTAATTAATATTTCACGTACATATACAAGTTTCCATAAAAATAACTTTAAATTATATTTATGATTACTAGTTAATCTACTTTTTTAAAAACTTAAAAGAAAAGAAAAGGAGAAACATTGGTTCGATATATGACTTTTTTCTTTTCTTTTCATTCTCAAGATTTATCATGTTGGAACTAAGAAAACAATAGAAAGAAAATTATAAAAATAATATTTATTTCATCCCACCTTTTCATCTACGTAACACAATTAAAACATAATAAATTCATATTATTTTATACTTTCTAAAAATAATATTATCAATTATTAACATATTTTCATTTGTTGATCATTACATTTTTATCTTGTATTCATTCACAATTTCAAATCTATCTCATTTTTCTTATCTCTATTTTCAGATGAGACAAGATTTTGAAAAAAAGATATACAATCGCAACTTATAATTTAATTTTAGGATTTGCGTGGTTAGTTACATAAACAACTTAGGCCCCCACTCATGCAAATTTCTAGATCCGCCTCTGCTTGGGGATTAAGTACCTTATTACCTTGGAGGGATTCTAAACAATTTCTTTAGCCCATGTTGTGGACTGGGAAGCAATTAGTAGTTTCAGGTAGTGTTGGTAAGTTTAGAAGAGAGTCATATACTTGTAATCTATATACATCATGCGTGCGACCGATTTAGTAAAGAAGGATCTGTAAGGAGTAGTGAGAAGCTACCCGAAGACGATTTTTTTTTTTAAATAGTCCCTTTCGTATTTAATTTGTGTGGTCATACACAGACGCGCTACTTTACATAGTACTCCTCAAATTTTCTTGCAGTGTTTCTATTTTGATCACTAGATAAAGATCCAAGTGATCTAACTACTGGTATTGGAATTCTATGATGATGTTTTCTTCTAGTCCTTAGGCAAGGTCACATGCAGATAGTTAAGAGTGGTTGGACTGTGCCCATGATGAAGAAGTTACCCCCTAGAAGAAAGAATCCACGTTGTCTATGTCCACCGATGCATCCATATACATGAAAATTGAAAAGCCAAGAGACTTATGGACGGACTACCAAAGTCTTGGGGAAAAAACAAATTTTCACGCTCTTATGCTATCATGTCGCTGGTTGACATAACACGTCACAAGATGATCATTCAGTGCACTACAACACGTGATGCATGGAAAATTTCGAACGACAATTCGAAGGTCATTGAGCTCTCATAACATGGGTTTTCCCGTCAGTAAAACCTCCCATAACCTCAAGCTCATTGAGCTGCGCCATGACCCTTAGGGCGTGCTCCCTCATGGGTCTGCCCTCGGCCATGCGCGTGTTCATCAGAGCACTCAAGGCTTCCTGCCTAGCAGCCCTAGACTGATGTCCGAACAGATTCATGAGATTGAGAAGTATATATGCAGCAGTGGTCATAGACTGATGCTGATGTTGAAGAACATTCAACATAGAAGTCAAAATGTAACACTTCGCCATCTCATCAGCCTTCTTCCACCGAGCATACTCCCCTTTTTCCTGCTCAGGAGCATCGGCCGCGGGCTCTGTCGGGCAAGCCTCATTGATTGCAAACTTATAACCCTCAGCAGTCAACACTATGTCTAAGTTCTTCTTCCAATCAATGTACTTAGGACCAATAAGTTGATTTCATTTTAGAATGACAGACAACGGATTAAACGACATGATGAATATAGCCTGAGAATCATAAAAATAAAATTTGACAGATTAAACATTTTGAATTTAACTGTTAACATTGATATGCTCAAAACAATATTAACTTAAATTCACCGACATCTCAAAACACCGTGAATAATGCATGATACGAGGTAACCCTATATACTCAACATTCGCCAAAGAAGGGCCTTTCAAGAATTCATTAATTTCCACAAGTCAAAACCAAATTCATGACGAACGAAATTAAAAGTCGGTCTCCGTTTGGCCATGCAATAAAATTTAGGGACCCTGAAGGGGTTAATAAATTAAATCGCATTCTAAGTGAATCCCATTTCTCGATCCTAATGTCATCAAATTCAATTATGCTTTCCCCGAGGGGAAGCCGTACGTTCTCATAAGACTTCATATAATCGTCTAATTAGAAATTCGTCCTGGTAATTACCTACAATTAATTTTAGTGATGTCACCCGAGGGGGAGCCCATACTTCAATTAATTGATTTACCGAAAAATTAGAAATGGTGGCCTTAGGAATTTTGAAATTAACTTTAGTTTAAAATCCCTTCTCAAACTTAGTATTATTTAAATGAGGATTTTTAAATATTTATGCATCTCTAAACTAATCTATGCAAATGCAATAATTAATTATCTATGCAATTCTAAATTAATCTATGCTAAAGCAATGATTAATTAACATGCATAATTATTCATGCAATTCTAAATTAATCTCATGCAAAAGAAATAATTAATTGAAATGCATAAATAATAAATAATTAATTGGCATATTAAATTTAAATAAATAAATCCACTATTATGGCCATTAATTATTGAGTCTCCTAGGAATCTTATCAGTTTATTTTCTTGTCCAACTGGAACTCCCAATGTAGTAGAATCCTGATAGATATTGTACTGATTATCCACCAAGTAAAAATCACCTGCCCACCAGCCGCCGCCGCCGGTCGCCGGTGAAAAATCCGACGAAATATATTTTTTTTTTCTTTTCCCGCACGGGTCACAGGCCGGGTCTGCTACCGCCAATCCGTCGTGCACTCCTGCCGCGTGGACAGCCCCTCGCGTGGCTGCCGGCAGGTCCTCGGGCCCATATCCGGTTGGTTCGTCGAGGTTCGTTGATCTCTTGTGATCTCCCCGTAATCAACAGACGATCACAACACGAAAAATATAATATAAACATTCCCACTGCAGCGTTCTAGTTCTATGATCAGTACATAGGTACACAAAAATACCCCAAACAAAGCAAGCTTTCACTGGGTCCCAGAACTCATTCCAAAATAGAGCTAACCCTCCACTTCTCCCTTGAGGTTCTACAAATGACCAATTCCCTGTAATACCCATAGATCTACTAACTGTATTTACAACGTGATAGTTTTTTTGTTTCTGACAAAAAGACCAAAATTGGGTGGTGGAGCTTCCACATCTCTTTGCGTTGGGATATTGTAGTGTGCCCACCCAACCCTCTACAATTCTACATGATAACATTCATTGATTCGTGTGAGGCCATTTTAGGCCGGCCTCTCACACCTCCTGAGAATCTGCTTTTTGCTTCTTGGACTGATGAAGCTCCTCTGTAGCTTGGACTTGTATAGTCAGTTGTTTTTTCTCCCTTCTTGTTCTAGGATTAGATTTTTCAGGAGCTGTTTGATTCTTAGCCTGCACCTTTCTTTTCCATCCTTTTTTAACAGGTGTGAAACCTTCAGGTAGTGTATTAGCACTGATAGCATGGCTGTCTGGTGGGTTTGGCAGAATTTGGTGAGTTTGAATGGATTTTGTTTGGTACGTTTGAGTAAGTGGTTCTTCTGTGTCCATCTGGACTGGAACAATCTCTTTGGATGTTATGAGTGAGAATGTGGTGTTTGGTTTAGTTGGTACATTTAGATTGGGAGGTGTTTGAAAACCTTGAGGTGATAGTTGGGGTGGTATGTTTTGGCTAGATTCTAGTTTATCTTGAATTGAAGGAGTTATGTGGAGTTGGGGTGGGAGAGGATTGTTACTGGTTTCAGAGGATGGTTTACTGGTTGTGGTGGCATTTATTTTAGAAGAGTCAGAGTTTCCACTGAAATGAGGTTGATTTGATGAGGAAGGAGCATCATGAGCCCTGAGACATTCTCCAAACAACCCTTCTGATAATTTGCCTGCAGCTATATCTGAAATCCTTTGTTCACATGTTCTATCTAAATGGCCCAGTAATCCACACTAGTAGAATCCACACTAGTAGCAGACATTTGCTAGCTTTTCATACTTGAAATCCACGATGATTCTCTTGTTGCCCAACTGAAGACTTGCACATCTCATCAAAAGTTGAGTAATATCCACCGTCACTAGGATCCTTATACATTTCCCCGCGAGAAATCCTCCTTGCAGAATTGAGATGTCTTTTGTTGTTTTGAATACTTTTCCAATTTTCATCCCTATTTCTGCTGAAATCCAATTGATTGGAATATTCCAGATTTGCGCCCATATATCCAGTTCATTGAAGTTGAGTTGATGCATTTATATCTTCTTCCCAATCTCGCAGAATAATTGCTTGATTCTCGAAGCTCCATCCAATTCCTTTTGCCACATTCTACTTATCTACAAGTTCTGAGAATATGAATTGAAAGAAAGTAGGGCTGAGCTCTCTTATCCCAACTGATCCCTTAATTTGCCAAATTTGGTTTATCATTCGTCTGATTCCCACTAAATGCGCCTTTTTGTATCCTATAATTTTACCGAAATGTCTTTTTCCGCATTCCTCAGCACTGAATTGGATGTCTTCAGTTTCGATCGGTATAACGTTAGCCTCTTTAGCAGAAAAGTGAAAAGAACCCAATTTATGCACTAGATCATGTCCGTCCTCCATAAGCGAGAATTGAATCAATAGTAGAAAACAAGGAACAAGGAACAAGAACCCTATTCTGCACCAAAGGGAACAAAACAAGAAAAGGTACGAGAAAAAAGAAGGCATAGAAAAACTAAACTCGATAGATGAGAGGAATACAGAACTTACTAAATATCTTCCAGAGGAATATTTACTCCCATGGCAGAGAGGGATTTCTTATTTGGATGTTTATGTTGGAGGATGGATTTAAGACAATAAAAAAAAAAGAGAAAAAAAAAATTGCATACCTATGTGATCCATTTCCACAAATATGATTCCAAGTTTTACTAGATCCACTACTTTCTCAAACAAGGCTCGATTGATTCCATGAAAATTAGGATGATAAATGAATGTCAAATGTCTAATATGATATATATGCCAAATGATTAATCTCCAAACAAGCTAAAAAATTAAATGATATACTTAGCAAAATTCACAAGGTGACGCATCCACAATGCCAATATCTCATTTCAAAATTCACCTCTTTTCTTATTCTAATCCTTATTTTTATTACTTTAATTTTTCAAATTCTTCCACCTTTTTTATCCTTCGGCCTCAGATAAAATCTAGTGTCTAATTCTAGTTTTCACTATATAGCATTATATTCTTTTTCCCCATGAGCCAGAGACTTCAATTGTAAACTCATCAATGCACAGTGAAGAAAATAAGTTAATCAATAACTATAGTTTGGATCTCAACAGCCATTTAAGACAGTATCAGCCAATCATCAAAAGCAGAAAGCTCTCGTTTAAAAGCTCGAAAATAATATATTAAGTCATCATTCCTCCTCATCAACCTTTTTTTCCTTCCAAGCTGCATTCACACTGTCGAGTTAAACAAGTTGGGACAATAATTCATCGACAGCCATTTGGATCTTGTCTTTTATGTAAGTGCAAGGTTTAAAACAAGTAGGGAGAGTAATTTTGACGAAAAACGAGACCTATTTGTCTGATGGCCTGGCGTTAAGCTCTCTCAATATAGCAAGTGTGGCTTCCGAGTTGTCACTGGCCAATGCCTTTCCAGTCGAGTTAGGCTTATTATAGGTTGTTGACCAAGATCCGCCGTTTGACCCGGCCAACGCCAATATAACATCTGCCTGATGTGGTTTATGGGGGAAAAAATAAAAAGGTTTTAAGAAAGATCAATTAGATTCAATAAATTGATACAGAATATTGAGTATTTGAGTTATAACTTGGCATGAGTCTACAATATAAATAACTATTTAAGTTCCGAGGTCCTTCAAGAATAAAAAACAGAGGTTCCTGAAAACTACCAAAAGAATTCAGTCAAGTTTGAAGTGTGTGTTTTTCTATTTTTGGATTATGTAGTTATGCTACAGATCGAACTTCAGAATTGTTGCATTTTGTTTAGTGTTCTAACTTATCTTCATAGGCATAAGAACCTGAATTTGAGCGACTGTCTGTACTCGAGCCTGATCAAAATTCATCACCGAAATATTTAACATATTATGTACTTTCCTTGACCATGTATTGGTGTATATTATCTCATCTGCTTGAACTAATACATTTTGACAGTGACTAGACTAGGATAAAGAATCAAATCATATGGCAGCACTTCTTCCTCCACAGAACAACCAAATGACAGTAAAGCAACATCATTCCAATTTATAGTAATATTGATTCCATGGCTCATTTTACCAGATTTGTGGTGATACTCCCTAACTCCACATCCCAAATGTCTGGTATGCAAAAGCAAAAGCAAGAGTCTACTCTAATCTTAAATTTTTTATTTAGTATATAGATCAAGTTTCAAAATTGCAGTTGATTAATTTGAACTTGTAACTCACAGCAACTAAAGTGTTATCATAAATTTGCCCCAGCCATCAAACAAAACCAAAAAAAAACTAGTAGCCTAGTAGCCAGTCAGTTTACATGAAACTGAAAACTTACAAAGCATTAACTTAATATAATCAGTTCTA